CACCTTGGGGTGCTTACACAGATGATTAGAAATGGGCTAAATTAATATGTGAGAATTAGCCTAGAAGAGGCTAGATAGAAATGGGTCAAGCAGTTAAATGAATACAGTTTGTGTGTTGTTATTTCGGGCATGAGCTAGCCAAGCAGCCGGGGTGTTGGGGACGCAGCCCCGCCGCTCCTATTTCAACAGTGTTGCAACTCTGAGGGGAAAGGGTATCCTGACAGTAGGGAGCCAAAGAATACCACAAAGTCACACCGAGCAACAAACCTCACATGAGAGGTTTATTGGGAGGGAAAACCAGGGAGGATGGCTGCCTCTGCTTAGGCAAGAAACAGCAGAGAACTGAGAAGAAGACGGTTTATATAGGATTTCTTGGGGAGGAACTTTCCAGGTAGGGATTGGTGGGCTTTCAAGTCCAGGGCGTGAGCTTTTTACTTTGTATGGTGTGTGCTGGATGCAGCCCTTAGGACAGTCAGAGTGTTCTGTGGCTGGAACCTGGCAGATGGAGGTCCTCAGGGGTGGCACAGGGCCACTTGTGTGCCTCAAGGGGTTGACAGAGAAGGCGGGGTTTGCAGGTCAGTCTTTGCACTTGAGAACACATTAGCAGCTTGCATACACCCCCAAGCTGGACATTGGCCAGCCCACATGGCTGTGTCTTATTTTTCTTTCTCTCAGGCTATTAGAGATCCCTCCTCCTCCTCCCACATGTTTCAGACATGGTGACTTCCAACTCACTATGTCCTATAACTCAGGGTGGTCTTGAGCTCCTAGTCCTCCTGCCAGCCCTTCCCAAGTGTTGTGATTATAGATGTGTGTCACCACACCAGGTTTGTAAGGTCACTCAGCAGCCTTGGTAAAGATATGACACATAAGATCCCACAAAACATACCCACATCACGTTTTAATTAAAAGCCAAGAGCAGGAGAAGATGGGGGATGGGCAGCAGCTGCACAGCATCCAGATGCAAGCCGCCCGCTGTTCTTAGCGCTTGTGTCATCGTTCCACAGACTGCTGTCTCTAGACTGGAGGCTGTGTGAAGCTTTGCTGCGTGCGTGCGCAAAGCGGAAGTCTCTGCACAAATCCTCTGCTCTCTAATTCCACAACCAAGCCAGCTAATGAGTTGAAGTCCGCTAATATCAAACTGGTTTGGGGAGGGGCTTCCAGCATGAAGATATTACAATAGTTTCTATCTATAAACTAACTCCATTCTCGATTGCTACGTGTGAACAAACGTGTCTCTCTGTGTCCGCAGTCTGTCCGTGCGCAGTGCACCTTAAATATGATCCTATCTTGTGAGCTGATGCTTTACCAATGCAGTTTCAAATGGACAGGTTTCCAGTGCCACACTTCACAGGAAACAAGCAACAATGAATATTATGACCCTCTGTTTTTGTCTCCAACAGATACAGTGTTAAATGAATATGAATACATTTGGGGGACAGTGAGATGACTCAGATGATGAGGCACTTGCTGTCAAGCCTAAAGTCTTGAGTTGCATCCCTGGAGCCTACACCACGGATGGCGAGAACTGACTTCTGCCTGCCATCCTCCTCCGTGCCCGCTCCCACACGTATGCACACACACAAACAGAATTAAAAGTTTTGTTTTAAAAAGTATCTGGTTGAGTGTGTATCCTGCATCCTAGGGGGTCATATTCTATCCTGGCAGCGCATAACCCTGAGATTCTCTTTTAATGTATTTTGAGGCAAGGACTCACTCACCTAGGCAGTCTTCAAAGCCTCTCGCCTCAGGATCTCACATTATGGTTTGAAGATAAATGGGTCCCGACGGGTCCATGTGTCTGAACACTTGGTTTCCAGCATTTGCTGCAGTTGGGGGATGCAGTGTGTGGAACCTTGAAGAAGACTTGTTTGAAACTAACCCGTGAGCAGAGGAGAAGAGGCTGTCTGCGGATAGTTTGCTCCTACTTTCTCAGAGCTTACTGTACAGCCTCTGAGTGTATGTCAGAGTGACGCTGGGCTGTTGGAGGAAGGCTGGGGGAGCTCAGCAAGAGCGCAAATAAACAGGAAGGAGACACATCCACTACCATCTCTCCGCCATTCTACAAAAGCTTACCAGTGTCCCAGCTAGCCCAGGAGGAATACCTATGGAGTCCAGTTTCAATACTGCAAAGCAGGCAAGGAAGGAGACGCAGTTGAAAGGCAGCAAATATTGATAACGGAAGCATGTTTTTTGATTTTCAGAGGCAGGGTTTCTCTGAGTAGCCCTGGCCATCCTGAAACTCCGAGATCCACCTGCCTCTGCCTCCCGAGTGCTGGGATTAAAGGCGTGCGCCACCACACAGGATTTATTGACATGTTTCTTAATGCACAGATCTATTAAAAATGAAAGGTCAAGGATAGCGGTTCATTCCTTTAATGCTAGCACTTGGGAGGCAGAGAGGTGTGGATCTTTACGACTTTGAGGCCAGCCTGGTCTATACAGCAAGAGCTACATAATGGAGAGACTGGACTCTAAAAACAAAACAACAAAGACCCCAAAACTTGGTATCTAGACGGGCACTCATTCTACTGATAGCTGTATTTAGTCAGGCAGTGGAGGCCAGGAGTCCCCTGAGGAAGACAATCAAACCATGCTTCATTGGGGGTCGACTGTCAAACATATAGTCTGTAGTCTTCAGGGAGTGTTCCAATAGACTCCAAAACAAACTGGAACTGCAGAAATGAGCTCTGCCCCACTCCCCAGTCACTATCACACCAAATCAAGGCACCGTCTTATGATGCATGCCTTCAAATCCATCACAGGTAACCACGGTCGCTCATCGGAGCCCAACCACGCACCTAATCATGGCCATATCACACAAACACACGCACATATGCACACACAAGCCTGAGCTTCAGCCCGGGTACACCCTGGGAGACCTCTGCGTCCCGCTCTGTACCTACAGCAGAGTCACACTGACCCCAAAACTGCAAAGTTTAAACGTGGCCCGGTGGTCGGTGGGAAATGTAGTTCAAGGTCCGCAACACCCGGATGTGGGGAAGGCGCCTGCAGCCAGCGGCCCCAGAAACGCACCGCAGAGACCCTTGGGAGAGACCGACCGCGCCGATGCGCGCAGGCGCGCCAAGGCTCGCCAGTGGTCGGAGGTGAGCAAGGTTGGGTCCCCTGTGCGTGAGAAATGGGCGGGAGATGGGCGAGGCAGACTGGGATGCTGAAGGGGAAAGCGCGAGCCTGGATTAGGACGGACACGGCGAGAAAGTCAGGCCTGAGAGGCGGCGAGCGGGAGCGCGCACCCGGGAAGGGGGCGAGGCCGGCGCGTTCCTGAAGCCAGGAGTCGTGGCTTTCACGGATTCTTCCCCGCGAAACTCCACTTGTGTGTCTCTGTGCTCCTGTCATGTTTTAAGGATTGTTAACCAGAACGGGAGGGGGAAATGCCCGTGTTTGGGTTTGATTGTAGGGAGGAAATGTTGTTCCGTGTTAAGGCTCTGAGATTGTGTTTTACTTGGGGACATCTGGGACGTTGACTACAAAGAGCAATACGACTTCGATTAAGTCTAATTTGAAAGTGTTTGTCTCCGAAGTCCATGAGGACTTGTTAAAGTTGCCCATTGAGAAAACCTCGGTCTCGGCTACTTACCGTTGTTTAAATTTTCTGAATAGTTGCCGTTTTATTTGCCTGTAGAATTTGTTGGGCAATTTAACAAGTATAATAGGTAGATTTGTTTTATTTTGAGACAGTTTCTCAATTAACAGTCCTGGCTGTCCTTTCTCTAGGTAGACCAGGCTGGCCTCAAACTCAGAGATCCACCTGCCTCTGCCTCCCGAGTGCTGGTATTAAAGGCATGTGCCACCACTAATTGGCTGATCTATTTATTATTTTATTTTACTTTTTTTGAGGCAAGGACTGACCATGTAGCCATGGTTGGCCTTGATCTTGCAGAGGTCTGAAGGCGTAAGTCACAAACAATGCCACGCCAGTTTGGAATTATGATTAATAGGGTGTTATTTATTTAAAGAGGAAAAAACTTACAGATCACCGTCCCAGACAACAGCCCTCTGCGCAACCAGGAAAGGGAGTCTAGTTGCCAGCCGAGCAGGAAGTGGAGAGAGACAGAGCGCACGAAAGGAAGGAAGTAGCCACTTTTTTAAAGGGAGAGAGACCACGCCCCAATGGGATGGTATCTCAGCAGCTATTGGTTGGAGGGGCGGAAGGACCTCCCGCAACAGAGGTCCACCTATTGCTGCCTCCAGAATGCTGGGATTAAAAGTGTGTGCTGAGATTTTTGTTTTAATTATTTTTTTATGAAAGGAAAATAAAATTTTGAGAGAGTAGCACTGTATGTTGAGAAACCCCATATTGAATATGACTAATATGTTGAAATAAACAGGAACACCTTTGAGAACATAATTTTTTTAAAAAAAGAAAAAGGGGTGGTAGTGACACACACGTTTAATACCAGCACTTGGGAGGCAGAGGCAGGCAGATCTCTGAGTTCGAGGCCAGCCTGGTCTACCTAGAGAAAGGACAGCCAGGACTGTTAATTGAGAAACTCTGTCTCAAAAAAAAAAAAAAAAAAAAAAAAACCCAAAGGTCATGTAGCTCAGTATGGTAAAGCACCCAAGGCTTCAGATAAACAAGAAGGGACCACTTACCCCTTCAGATAAACAAGAAGGGACCCCTTACCACTTCAGATAAACTAGAAGGAACCCCTTATCCCTTCAGATAAACAAGAAGGGACCCCTTACCCCTTCAGATAAACAAGAAGGGACCCCTTACCCCATTCCTTTTCACTGCCACTTCAAAATTCAGTTCAGGTGAATTTTTTTCCTCCTACTGCTATATGAATTCATAGAGAGCTCAATAATTTCTGCAAGGCATTTTTTAAACTTTTTATTGAATCTTTGTGGATCTGCATCATGCACCCTGGTCACACTCAACTCCCTGTCCCCTTGCTTCTGCCCCCTCTGCCAGACATCCTAAGATACTAAAAATATTGGGTATTTATCGACCGATTGGTGTCATGGTAGTCATTTAGACTCAAACTTGCTTAAGCTTTTTGTGTGAGCATAAGTGTGTGCCCTCAGAAGCCAGAAGAGAACATCAGATCCCTGGCTCTGCAGGTACGGGCTGTTGTGAACTGCCCGCTGTGGGTGCTGTGAACTGGACTCAGGTCTTCTGCAAGAGCATCAACCACTGCGCCATCTCTTCAGCCACTGAACCTCTTCTCTTTATTTAAATTTGTTTGTTAGTTTTCGAGTAAGGGCTTCTCTGTGTAGCCCTGACTGTCCTAGAACTTGCTCTATAGACCAGGCCAACCTTAAAGTCAGAGATCTGCCTGCCTCTGCCTGGGATTAACGTCATGTGCCACCATCAGGCTTAGTTTTATTTCTTTAAGGCAAAATCTTCCTGCTTTTGAAAGCCTGCAGCGTGAAAGGTACATGATCCTCCCATCCCCCAACGCTTCAACCTCCATTCTGTGCTTTCTACAGGTGAGAAGTCTCCAGCTCAACTGGAGTGGGGGCTGGGAAAGAGAAATCAGAGGTTAAAGAACAATAGGCTAGCCGGGCGATGGTGGCGCAAGTCTTTAATCCCAGCACTCGGGAGGCAGAGGCAGGCGGATCTCTGTGAGTTCAAGACCAGCCTGGTCTACAGAGCTAGTTCCAGGACAGGCTCCAAAGCCACAGAGAAACCCTGTCTCGAAAAACAAACAAACAAACAAACAAAAAAAAAACAATAGGCCAGCATAGTTCGTGGCTCTGTGATTTAGTATATCTCTTCTCTTATTTTCCAAGAGAAGTTGCTTCTGGACCTCTGTTCTCTGTGTGCAGCGCTTCTCCTACTGCCACCTCCTCTTCCCCTGGACATGCAGGACCCCCTTGTTTGGATGGCTCCTGTTTGTCCCATGAGTCCTCTTGGGTAGGATCCAACACAGCCCAAGCAGCCACCACCCTTGGGGTTTTCATCTAGTGTGAAGATGAGAATTACTGCCTTCTGGTCACGTACATTGTTCTCAAACATTCTCTGACAACTTTAGTTCCTAGTGGCACCTACAGGAAGGCCTTTTCTTATGAAAAGGAAGCATACATTTTTATTCCCCCAGGAAAATTATATTCTATAAACAACTTACCCGAGTTCGAGGCCAGGCTAGTCTACAGAGTGAGTTCCAGGACAGCTAGGACTGTTACACAGAGAAACCCTGTCTTGAAAAACAGCAACAGCAGCAGCAGCTTACCCACAGAAAGTCTATTATTCTCAACTTTCCAGCCTGTTGTGAGTTAAATAAATGGAAGAGAAAATTGGGTTTGTGGGTTTGAGTGAAGGGCCCTTGACATTTGCCTCATGTGCTGTCCTTGGGATGTCACTGTGACTGACAGAAGTCACCATCCTGTTAAAAAGCCAGTTGGTGGCTGCAGAGTTGGCTCAGCTCTTAAGAGCACGTGTTTGCTCTTGCTGAGGACCTGGGTTCTGTTCCCAGCACCCTCGTGGCAAGTAACAACTGTCTGTGATCTTCTGTCTTCCGAATGCACATAGCGCATGTATATATATGCACACAAAATACTCATACACGTAAAATAAATACATTTGAAAAGGGGATGTTGGGTCAGGAGTTCCAGGTCAGCCTCGTCTACATAGCAAGTTTCCAGCCGTCTTGGGCTGCATAAGGCAATGTCCCAAAAAGCAAACGAATACATATCTATAAAATAAAATAACCCAGGGCTGGAGAGATAGCTCAGTGGTTAAGAGCATTGCCTGCTCTTCCAAAGGTCCTGAGTTCAATTCCCGGCAACCACATGGTGGCTCACAACCATCTGTAATGGGGTCTGGTGCCCTCTTCTGGCCTGCACGCATACACACAGACAGAATATTGTATACATAATAAATAAATAAAATAAATATTTAAAAAAAAAGAAAAAAAAAAAAATAACCCAACAGAAAAATGTAAATGAATTATAAGAGCACATTTGCAGGAAGAAACGAGTTGTTTATAAACTTAAGCTTTTCTTCTTCCATAAGTAGAGAACTCAGATTGCAGCTAGAATTGGTGCCTGTTGGAGAATCCTAGGGAAGTCTGTGACCACGGTGCTCCTCAGGTGTGGGGTGTCAGTGTTCCCATACATTATTACACATGGTTTGGCCTTGTTAGGGAGCAGGCAGTAGACATCCATAACTGTAGGCTCTTTGGGGTGGGGTGCAGCTTACCCAGATCCATCGTGTTCCAGAAGCCTTTATCTTGGATGTGGGAATGAAATAGCTCGTTATCTCCAATATGTTACATTAATTTAGGATGCACAAAGGAGACATGAGCCAACACAGAGAAATGGTTTTAGGTTCATGTAAGAGGTGAGAGCCAGCTACAAGGGGAGTAAATTCTCAAGTAAATTCTCACCCACCTTTACCCTTCTTGGCTTTGCTGTTTTAGGTTGTATCCTATAACTTCTGAAGAGGAGCCCAGATCTCAAAACCATGGCTCAGGTGAGGTAATGGTTTCCGTTCCTTGAAAAATTGCTTGTTTTGCTCTGCCAACGCCCACTTGTTTTCTGAGGATATTTGGGTGTTATCCTTTTCTGTCTAAACCGTCGCATCAGGCTTTCTCTGCAGGAAGTGTGTCCCCTTTGGTCTCTCCCAGAAGCTGTACTGGGACAAAAATGTATTTGTTTTTATCAGTGAAAATTATGAACACACAAGCCTGTCACGTATAAATCTTAAAAGGATAACAGTGCTTGCTAGCATGCATGGACGCTTTCTGGGCAGGAACACGGGAGATTCCCAGCCCCGTGGCTGGTAGCGCAGACACATACACCCAGGAGGAAGAGCCAGGAGGATTAGAGGGTCGAGGTCATCCTTGGCTATGTAGCAAGTTTGAGGCCAGCCTGAGCTACACAAGACCCTAACTGAGACGGCTCAGCAGGTTAAGGAACTTTCTGCCAAGCCAGATGACCTGGAGTTTGATTTCCCAGGACCCACATGGTGGAAGGGAACAACTGACTCACGCACGACATGGACACCCTGGTACATATACACCCATGACTCTACATGCAGAGTGTATATGCATCTCCATGACTCTACATGCAGAGGAGCGGTTTCTAAGGATGCGGAAGCCTTTTGCCTTACCCACATGCCTGGGTAAGGTGACGGTAAAACTGACAGGATGTTACTAGTAAGTGGCAGAAGCATTTTGTCTTAAGTGTAAGGGTAGAGGCCTGAGGAGTCAGGAATCCTGTTTCTTCCTTGTCTTCCTTCCATGTTGCTCACAGTTCCTAAAAGCCTGTGGCCTTCCAGCAAAACCTTTCCTAGGATACTAATGCTATCAGAGACTTATTCTTTTAAAGTTTATCCTAGCCAGGCATGTTGGCATAGGCCTCTAATTCCAGTCTTCCTAAGGCAGAGGCAGAGGTAGATGGATCTCTTGAGTTTGGGTCAACTAAGGCTACATAATGAGACCCTGTCTCCAAAACAAAGACAAATTCTTGTAATTCTGTATTTGGATGCCGAAGAAATAGCTGTACACAGGTCACAATGCCAGAGTGTAGTTCAAACACTGTTCTCTGTTTGACTCGGGAAGCCATCTCTATGCAGTGTAGACTTTGTTGTTATTTTAGACACTGTGTAGCCCTGGCAGCCACCTGTCTGTCACCTGTAGGAAGTAAACCCTTTCTGACTGGGGACCTGCAGGGTTTCAGGAACCTTCAGGAAAGCTGGAACATGGGACAGTTCTCGACGTTGCAGTTGTTGCCCCTCAATGGCTCAGGGCCTTCCAGGGCCTTCTGGACTTGTTCATTATGCACTGTCTCCAAGTCTCACCGGGGTAGCTGAGGGCCTTTCTCAGGCGATTTATTCTTTCGTTGCCAGCTACTAACCCCGCCACACTACCTTGTATTTTGAGCAGCACCTCATGAATTTGCCCGGGCTGGCTATGAATTCACTCTGGATCAGGCAGGCCTCACATTTGTGAGTCTGATGAGACTCATCCTTGCAAGTAGCTGGGGTTGCACACCTGTGCCGATAGAGCCTGACTAAACCAGCCATTCTGAAGTGCAGAAATTTACATCTTTCTCTGTGAAGCCAGAGTCTTTTCTCTATCTCGTGAGACACCGTGCCTGGTGTGTGTGCTGCAGCGGCTGTGCGTTTATATTTATATATTCTCTCCTGTGTCTGAGCCCAGAAAGCACACGTGTTAGGTTCTGGCTCCCAAAGAGCAACTTCACAGTAAGTCACAGTCTTGATGTCAACCTGTGTCTGTGTGTATGCGAACATGCAAGCAGCGCAGCATCCACCTGGATGTCAGGGCAGCTGAGAGGAGTTGGTTTTCGCCTTCTACCACATAGGTTCCAGGGACTGAACTCCCATACCAGGCTTGACAAGTAGTGCTTTTGCCTGCTGAGTCACCACGGGAGCACAGTAGCTTACAGTTTAAATCAAAACAAGAAAAAGAGTCGACATTCTTTGGCAAAGTTTATCTGTCACAAAGAACAGGAATGAGAGTCCTTCCCAGGGCTGGAGAGATGCTCAAGCACTTGTTGCTCTTCCAGAGGTCCCAGGTTCGGGTCCCAGCGCCCATATGGTGTCCTACAACTATCTTCTAACCGCCAAGGGCCCCAGGCACACATATGGCGCACAGACATACATGCAGGCAAAACACCCATACACATAATAAAATAAGTCTTTAAAAAATATTTCAAGCCAGGCAATGGTGGAGCACATGTTTAATACCAGCACTTGGGAGGCAGAGGCAGGCAGATCTCTGTGAGTTCGAGGTCAGCCTGGTCTACAGAAAGTTCTAGGACAGCCAGGACTGTTCCCAATATCTAGTTAACCTGTGCCAATCACCCTTCCAAATTCTGCCCTGCAGGGATCCGTGTCCTTCAAGGATGTGACTGTGGACTTCAGTCAGGAGGAGTGGCAGCACCTGGACCCTGGTCAGAAGACTCTGTATACAGATGTGATGTTGGAAAACTATGGCCACCTCCTCTCCGTAGGTACGGGAAGCAGGCACACCCTGCGTGCTGTGTATTTCCTCTCAGAGCACCTACATAATGTGCTCTCGAGCTCCAGTAACGGGAGCCACAGGACCCTAGTTTGCAGGAGGACTCTGCTCTCCCATCCTAGGGCAGGACCCAGGGTTACTGTCACACAAGTGAGAGTCATTCAGCTCTGCACCTTGGTCATTTTCAGTGTTTCTCAAGCTCCTGTCCATATGAGATTTTACGTTGCAGATATTCCTGCCCATATCCCCACACCTACCCTCTTTGTGACTGGGCGAGCGTTTTACCACTAAGTTCCACCCCAGCTACCTTACTCGTGATTACTTCTCTTCCTCCTTATCAGGGTGTGACATGTCTAAACCCGATGTCATCCTCAGACTGGAGCGAGGGGAAGACCCCTGGGCATCATTTGCAGGTCATGTCTGCTTAGGTGAGTTTCTGGCATCCAGACACGGGAGGTAATGGAGAGTAAAAGTGAAGGCATGGGGACTGTCACCGAAGTGTTTTAAAGGTTCTTAAAGGTTCCTAACTTTTGAAATGACCAGCTTACCTACAAAACTTAACACAAAATTCTGAGCCGAGCATGTTGGAGACAACTGGAGTCCTTAGAACCTGAGTCCATGATCTCCTAGGAGATCATGCTTGATGAATGAATGAATGAATGAATGAATGAATGAATGAGGAGATCCTTGCAGGTGTCACAGAAGGCAGGGAAGTGACTTGCGAAGAGGTGGGAATGAAAACTTGGATGCCCAATGGAGCTGGCCAGGCTGGATCAAGCTTCCGGAGACTCTGATCCAGCCAGTTTATTGCCAGCGTATTTAAGGACAGTACAGTTTGGAAAAGTTTCTGGTATAACAAACCGAGGTGCGTGAGGAGGCATAATTACATTGGAACTCAACGTGGGGTACATGCCATTTCTTCCAAGAAGATGGGTTCTGAAGATAGGCTCCCTATATTAATATAAGGGCCTAGGGAAGCATCTGGCCTGGACTTGGCAGTATAGATAGCACAGAGGTCATATGGCTACTAGCCACCTCAGCTTGGAGATCCCTGGCTGTACACGTAATGTAAGGGTCATTTAAATTACTAGCCACCTCTGGTCCTGGCTGTAGGGGCTTAATGTGGTGTAGCCCAACAGACAACAGCTCACCAGGCAGTTAATCACCTCCAGTTCCCAGCCTTCTGGAAAACAGATCGTTCCCTTTGAAAGGACAATCCTGGTTTCCCTGGAGATCTGTGAGAGCAACGAATAAATAAGTGAATAAACAAAGGTGTTTAGGGACACCAGAGGATCACGTCTAAGGAAATGAACAGTGGCCATGATCTGTGGTAAAGCCTGAGCCACTCACATGAAATTAAATAAATCTAAAAGTTAAAAAAAAAAACAGTTCAGGTTTATTTTTGGTACAAAACAAGTTTGTGGTGAACCTGGACTACATGAAATCCTATTATGTCTCAAAAGATTTTCATTGTTGGGATGACTTTTCTAGATGATGACGCCCCGGTTTTCATAGTGCTCATAGTGGTGGAAGGGGCACGTGCAGGCTTTTGTTGTTACTCTTGTTTCCTTGCTGCCGCCTTGCACATGCTGGGCACTCTGCTACTGAGCTACACACCTTGTAGTTTGTTGATCTGGTGCTCACCAAGTAACCAAGACTGACGTCACTCAGACCCCTTGCCTGTGCCTCACAAGTGCTGGGCCTGCACGTGTGCACCCTATACTTGACTATATGAAGCACTTTTGAAATCACAGAGTAGAGCCGGGAGATGGTGGCGCACGCCTTTAATCCCAGCACTCGGGAGGCAGAGGCAGGCGGATCTCTGTGAGTTCGAGACCAGCCTGGTCTACAGAGCTAGTTCCAGGACAGGCTCCAAAGCCACAGAGAAACCCTGTCTCAAAAAGCCAAAAAAAAAAAAAAAAATCACAGAGTAGAGTTTACTTGAAGATTCTCTAAATATGAGTAGAAAAACGTCTGAAAATTGATTAATACACTACACACTTGGGCTCTTGTCACTTGGCTCAGGCGACACAACATTCTAGAGGGCATAATTTACTTTCTGCCTTGGACTTCTTGCCAGCTAAAAATCTTTTTACTTGCTCAGACTTTGATTATGTGTAAGATAAACGTCTGACAATAGATGTCTAGAGTAAGTTTAGCAGGGTGGGGACAGCAGCTGTGCACACTGGTCTATTTTAAGGTTCCTGCAACAGGTATTTTCCTAGCTCTCGCGTTACATGACAAAGTAGTTCTTCTAGCTCTTCATTGGTCGCACAGCTAGATTACAGGATTGCTTTCCAGATTGCAAGAAACTAATACTTTAAGAGATTAGTGAGCCGTGGCACTTCACGTAGAGGGGGCCAGGTGAATATAATCCCTAGAAGATTAGTGAGCCGTGGTGCTTCATGCAGAGGCCTAGGTAAAATATTCACCATTGTTTCACCACAGTAATTGAGATTCGCATATAAAAATTTGGGTGATCTGTTGCTGAAGTAGGGGCGGCAGGCTGCTTCCTGCCACCTGGCTCCCGCACGGCTAGCTTTACCCAAAATAATTACAAGGAAATTGTATTCATTTAAACACTGCCTGACCCATTAGTTCTAGCCTCTTATTGGCTCTCATGTCTTGATTAACCCATTTCTATTAATGTGTGTAGCACCACAAGGTGGTGGCTTACCAGGAAGATTCTAACCTGCATCCATTTCGGAGAGGAGAGCTATGGCGGGCGTCTGTCTGCCTCACTTCCCTTCTTCCCAACATTCTGTTCTATCTACTCCACCCACCTATGTTCTGACCTATCAGGCCAAGCAGTTTTCTTTATTAATTAACCAATGAAAGTAACACATAGACAGATGACCCTCCTCCATCGATCTGTTTACTGTAGAAGATATTTTCCTGCAATTTCTCTGAATAAACGTATCTACCTTGTTGTTCATCTTACTTTGCTTTTATTCCTATGATAGTCATTTCATCATTTAATCTTTCCAGACATGAATTCCTCTAGTATCATTCCTTATCTGGTTTCTATTACTTTCTGAATATAACTGTTTGTGGATCAAAAGGTATTAACAGTGTTTCCATTTCATTCTTTTTCATACTGAAGCACACTGTGTATTTATGCTTGTCATTAGGTTTTTTAGGATTTTTTTGTTGTTGTTGGTTTTGCCTTGTAACCTGGAAATGGTTCACTATAGGTTTTTCACATGTTAGACCATTTCAATTCCTTTCCCTAGCAAATTTGTGGAAATTCACTAGTTTGTTATTCTTTTCTAGAAGAAAATTGGAGCTCAAGAGAGATTTTAATGAAATTCAAAGAACACCGTGATACATACCCTAGATCATTTGTGTATGTGAACTATAAAGAACTGGCTAAGGAGAGCAGTACGTATCCTGTTAATCCCAAAGAACTACCTCCTGACTGTGATACCTGTGGAGACATTTTAGAAAGTGTTTCAGAATTAATCAACAGTAATCCAAGCCCTGCAAGGAAGAGACAGAGTGAGTATGATGGATATTGGAAACCATGCCCAAATTCCATGCGAGACCTGGGGCATCCTGAATTCAAATTCCATACTCCGAGGGGCAAGGCTTGCAGTCACAGTGTTGAACCCAGACATGAGAAAGCAGGCGCTCCGGGACAGCCATTTGGACGTGAGGACTGGGAACGGTCATCTCTCAGAAAGGGGAATCCGTCTGTACATAACAAAAGGAAAAGCGCAACAAATACTGAAAAGACCCACATCTGCACAGAATGTGGGAAGTCCTTCTGCAGGAAGTCAGTGTTGCTTCTGCACCTGGCAGTTCACACAGAGGAAAAGCCTTATCAGTGCCCTCAGTGTGGAAACGCATTCAGAAGGAGGTCATATCTCATTGACCACCAGAGGACTCACACCGGGGAGAAGCCCTTTGTTTGCAATGAGTGTGGGAAGCCCTTCCGCCTGAAGACAGCCCTGACGGATCACCAGAGGACACACACAGGGGAGAGGTCGTATGGATGTCCACAGTGTCAGAGTGCCTTCAGGTTGAAGTCCCACCTCATCCGTCATCAGAGGACTCACACAGGAGAAAAACCATATGAGTGTACTGCCTGTGGGAAGGCCTTCCGCCAGAAGACAACACTCTCCCTCCATCAGAGAATTCACACAGGCGAGAAACCCTATGTTTGTAAAGACTGTGGGAAATCATTCCACCAGAAAGCAAACCTCACCGTCCACCAGAGGACTCATACAGGGGAGAAGCCCTACATTTGTAAGGAATGTGGGAAGTCGTTCTCCCAGAAAACAACACTTGCTCTTCATGAGAAAACTCATAGTGAGGAGAAGCCCTATAAGTGTAATGACTGTGGGAAGACCTTCCGCCAGAAAACAACCCTTGTGGCCCATCAGAGGACGCACACCGGGGAGAAAGCGTACACGTGTCCTTGCTGTGGCAAGGCCTTTAGAATGAAGTCGTACCTCGTTGACCACCACAGAACCCACACCGGCGAAAGACCATACGCATGTGACCAGTGTGGCAAGTCCTTCAGTCAGAAGACCAATCTCAACCTACACCAGAGGATTCACACTGGGGAGAAACCCTATGTTTGCAGCGAGTGCGGGAAACCCTTTCGGCAAAAAGCAACGCTCACTGCACACCAGAAGATCCATACGGGGCAGAAGTCCTATGAGTGTCCCCAGTGTGGGAAAACCTTCAGCAGGAAGGCCTAACTCGTTCATCATCAACGAACTCACACAGGGGAGAAGCCCTACCAGTGCAATGACTGTGCAAAGTGCTTCCGCCAGAAGACAAACCTCATTGTCCACCAGAGAACTCACACGGGGGAGAAGCCCTATGTGTGTAACAAATGCAGCAAGTCCTTCAGCTATAAGAGAAACCTCCTTGTCCACCAGAGGCTTCATAGGGAGAATACGGAAATGGAACAGGAGAGCCAAGTGGCGTCTGTGCAGTCTTCCCGTGACTGGAAGCCTGCCGTTCCGGGAGGAAAAACACGCTTCCACATGTCATAAGTGACTGACGTTCCATCCCTCAGCACTGTTTACTGCTTCCCAGTGTGTGCGGTAGATACAGGCATTGCTGAACTGGGTCAACTCTGAAGATGATCTGTAACCTTTAGATGGTCCGGCTGACTTTGAATACTACATCAAAAAATACTTTTAGTTTTAGAGCTACCTGACCTACACGCCAGCCAGCGCTGTATGGGGGAGACCCTCTCAAAGCAACAACAAAAAAAATGTATAATACATGTAGGAACACGTTAGAAAATGTTTATCAGCATTAATTACCATACGAGAATAAGAAGGAACCATCTCATTGTATTCAGTATTACTAGAAAGTTATTACTGCTTTCCCTGTGATAAGCGTATTTACATATTTAATTTTTGTTTTTTGAGTCAGGGTTTCTCTGACTATCCTGGAACTCACAGAAATCCACCTGCCTCTAATTCAAGTGCTGGGATTAAAGGTGTGCGCCACCACAGCCTGGCTCATGTTCTTAAATTTTAAGTCTGTTTTATTATGCATCTTGGATTTCTTTTAACATCCTGCTTTGTTTCATATTTTAAAGATTGGTACGTTACTGCATGTGTCATTAGTAGTACATTAATTTTAATATTTTATTTAAAGTTGTCTTATTTCTGGATATTTATATTTTTGATAACTTTGTCATAAAAATACTGTTATATTCTGGTATATGTCTTCTGGTGTTTGTATATGTGTATGCATTTCTTATTACTTAATATCAAACTGGAATTTTTCCATCCAACATGTAGGTCTTTTCAGTTATGGTACATTCTGCCATATATCTCAGACCTCCCACAAAATGATTTTTTTTCCAAGACAGGGTTTCTCTGTAGCTTTGGAACCTGTCCTGGAACTAGGCACTGGGCTCTTCCGGCCCTAAATATCCACACCATTCCAACTTAAGAGTTTCTTCCTTCCAACTCTGCAGCTACATACTCTCTTAAAAAAAAACCAACAAGCCCCAAGCCCTTTAACTGCTCTCTCCACTCCGAGAGGTAGACATGGCAGCCTTGGACATACCCAGATGCCTCTGCCTATTCTCACCACCACCTGCGAGATAGGCACTTGACAGTTTAAGATTTAAAAAAACAAACAAACAAAAAAAAAAACCTTCTTTACACTCATCAAGTGGTCCATTTCAGTGGCTTCACCATGCCCTCACTTACAGAAAAACTTGCTGAAAAGAAACGTTACAGGTGGGCATGGTGGCACAGCCTGCGATGCCAGCAGTCAGGAAGCTGAGGCAGGACTGACTGCATGAGCTCAAACTTGGGCTGCATACTGTCAAGCTCTTGGGGACCCATTCTCAGCACTTACACAAAGCCAAAACTCTTATTCAAGGAAATTGCTATCGTTTTAGGGGTGCTTCTACTCCTCACTTGATCCTAATAAGGATCAGAGAATTCATGCAAGGGGAAGGGTTTTTACGTAGAACGTGAAAACAGTACCTAGACTGGAATTGAGTTTCCATACTAACCAGGTCATTTCAGAGCAGACTAGTAATCCAAGCTATTTGAAACACTGAAGCCAGAGGTTCATAAGTTCAGAGTCAGGCTGAGCAACCTAACAAGACCAGGTCTTCGTGTAAAAGTAGACTGGAACTATGGCTATAGCTCGGTGCTGGAACGCTAGCCTACCACATGCAAGGGCCCAGTTTTAATCACCTATACTGGCTGAATATCTGTTAGGGGGGAAATGGATCCTGAAAACACAAGATTTGTAATATTGTCTACATGCTTACAATTTAAAAAGCAAAATTTTGTGATTTCTTATTTCTAGTGAATTTAACTATTTAAGTAAATTAAAATGGGTCTCCAGGGTGAAAGCCAGTTTACGAATGCAAAGTTACAAATCGTATGGCTTTCCAAATGAAACCGCAGTTATGGTGAGCTATACCAAAGCACTTTATGCATTTCAACACTGTAAGCATGGTCCTGGGAACCGGAAATGTGTAGCCTTACTCTTAAATTCGGCTTAAGAATGAGAATATTTCAAGATTTCTGGGAAATAATATTTTGTTATATTTGGAGCATCATTTGCACTTAGCATTTATGTTACATGCCGGTTTGGGGGGGGGGGGTTGTTTTGTTTTTGGGACAGGGTTTCTCTGTAGCTTTGGAGCCTGTCCTGGAACTAGCTCTTGTAGACCAGGCTGGCCTCAAACTCAGAGATTCTCCTGCCTCTGCCTCCCAAGGGCTGGATTTAAAGGTGTGCACCAGCACCACCCAGCTACATGCCAGTTTTCAAATGCAATAAAGTTTCATTTTTTTAATTGACATTTAAATTGAATTGGCATTTTTAAAAACCCGACATTCATCTTAAAGAAAGCATCTTTTTTCCTGTATAGAAGAAAATGATGTGTATGTGCACACATGTTCATGTGTGAGCCTGTGTAGAGGTCTGCTATTCCTAGGGTGCTGCTCACTGCAGCCTGGCCTCACCAACTAGGCTGGGTTGGCGCTGGTGAGCCCCGAGGTCCTGTGGTCTGGGCTCCCAGAGTTGGAATCGTAAGCTTGTGGCACCGTGACCAGCTTCTCCTGTGGGTTCTGAGTACTCAACTTTGGGTCCCATGCTTGCACAGCAAGTTAACTCAAGAGCTCCTCAGCAAAAGCTGGATACTGATGCATTAGTTTCCCAAACATGATGCAGTGTTCCACTAAATTTGTTCTTTAGCAAAGTATTATATGTATATTACTATACTATCATACAATATATTATATATAGCCTGAAAGGCCCAAAGAAGGCATTGGATTCCCCAGAACTCTGATTACAGGAGGTTGTGAGTGCCCGTTGTGGTGCTGGGAATGGAACTCTAGTCTTCTGGAAGAGCAAGCACTCTTAACCACACCACCAGTTCATTTTCTCTGCCAGCATCTGCAGACTAGGATTGAACTGATCAACAGAAAAGATTCTGCGTTACTACAGACCCAGTGAAAGGCCATTGGGAGGTCACAGCCCCTGACTGAAGAGTTCCTGTTGTGTTAAATGAACATGGTGCACCTGACAGATTGCCTTCTATGGAACTGTACTCATGCCCACAGGTCACTGTTGCCATCAGCTCTGGTCAGAGAAGCTTCTTTTTACAATAGGTAGTGGTGCTTTCAGAGACTTAGTAACTGCTCAAAAGCCAGGAGGTGGTGGCGTACACCATAAAGCCCAGCATTTGGTCTACAGAGCATGCTCCAGGTCTGCCAAGGCTCCAAAGAAAAACAAAGAAATGCTAAGGAAAAAAAGAAAAAAACTTAAGACCAAGTGTTAGAATGCCTACAGCCATAAACAGACATGCAAGGCTTAGGGAACTTTGTGGAACTAGGCCAGAGTGTAGGAGCTAAATTCCTGCCCAATTCTACAGTTGGAAAGATCCATCAGATGGTCACATGGCTCAGTGATTTGGATTTAGAGTACAAGGCTTACTCCCTGCTCCAGGGAATCCAAGGCCCTCTTTTTTCTTTTTTCGAGACAGGGTTTCTCTATGGCTTTGGAGCCTGTTCTGGAACTAGCTCTGTAGACCAGGCTGGTCTCGAACTCACAGAGATCCGCCTGCCTCTGCCTCCCGAGTGCTGGGATTAAAGGTGTGCGCCACCATCGCCTGGCTTCCAAGGCCTCCTGGGGCACTGCATTCACATGTGCAAACAGAGATAGAATTAAAAATTATGTATTTGAAAAATGCAAACTGCTAAGGAAGCCAATGAGGACGTGTGCCAGCCGTCTCCATCCCTTTCTCTAGTTCTTACACCGCATGGGTGGGGAAGCCTGCGGAAGCCTCAGGAGGGCACAGGACCCTCTGGAACCGGAAACTGAGTCCATCTCTAACTGCTGAACCAGCTCAGCATCTCCCCCTTTAAAATATAGACTTACTCTGTAGCCCACGATGGCCTAGATCTCATCATACAGCCCAGGTTGGTCTCAAAGTTTCGGTAATCCTCCTGCCTCTGCCTCCTGAGTACTGGGATTACAGGTGAGCACCACACTTGGCTCCACTGAACTCACAGCAGGATAACACAAAAGTCATGGTATCACAGAATCTCAAAATCCACCTCCTCCACAGACTCCAGAGCTGGCCACTGAGAACCAATGAGATGGCTTAGCATGGGAAAGTTCTGGGTGCCAAATTAATTCCCAGAGACCTATATGGTGGAAGGTAAGATCCAGCTCCCCAAAGTTACCCTCTGACCTCTACCTGTGCTGTGACGTGCCACATGGCCATAGATACACATAAATCCTTTAAATCCCCGAGGAAGGCTGGAGAGACCTGCAGCATGTATAGGGGGGCTTAAGTTAGCTACCCAAAACCCCAGCTCCAGATCTCAACTCCACAGGCATGTGAGCGTATGTGCACATTTCTACACAAACACATACATACAATATATACATATATAATTTTTAAAAATTTCAAAAATCTAGTACTGGCCAAGAGAACCAGCCAAGCAAGCTCTCAGTGGCACGTCTACATATTCACACAGCCGGGGCACTTCACGTACATCCTCCAGACCCCACCTAAGCCTTCTGCTCCCCCATGGCCTCGCTCATTCATGGCCAGACACTCCAGTCCAAGCTTCACACTGTCACCTCTAGGCTTCTAGCAAATTTTTTCTCTCATCTTTTACATTTTTATTTTTGAGAATTACGTGTATCTGTGTGGGGGCATGAGGGCATGGATCCCCGTGGAATTATCAACAGTTGTGACCAGCCCAGTTTGGGTCCTCTTCCTGAGGTCTGCACCAGAGCCAGACCATTCCCATCTCCAATTCACTGTGATAGCAGCAATCACTCACTGTACGCTATGTAGCTAAGCATGGCTTAGGATTTACATGCACATTTAACCAAGGCTTTGAAATGAGGTGCTGGAGATGAACTATGGCACCAACGCTGTCTTGTCATGTGACACTCTGCACTCACAGTCCAGGTAGACCAGGCTGGCCTTGAACAAACTCACCTTAATCTACACAGGTCGATCACACATTTTGTCCTCTTGGTTTCTAAGCCAGCACTGGAAACTACAAACCCCTGACCACACTGATATTGGAGACAGCCATTTCTTCCTCTGGGCGAACCTGAAAGCTGGCTACTGCCGACCTGGCAATGCGGACCACCTTTCTCTACTGCTCACCCCGGGCTTCTTCTCCGTCTCTACTTTTAACATGACTTCGTGTCAGAACCTCTAAGTTCTTACCAGGGAAATGACTGCTTTTGGATTTTTAGTTTTGCTAATAAAATTATTTAGGAATGGGATGAGTGAGGAAGTCAGGAGGTAAAGGCATCTGACACCAAGTCTGATGGATTCCCGGGACACACATGGCGAACAGAACTGATCCCTGCAAGCTGTCCTCTGGCCATACCGTCAGATTCACCCCAAGATCTCATGTGTGCTGGTCAGGAATTCTGCCACTCTATACTCGCAGACCTAGGACACACAACATTTGATTTTGCAAAGCTTTCTTTTTCTCTAGTCATGTTAAGTCAAAATTTGGTCTCCACGAAGTAGACGTGAAAAGTTTTACCCCCAACACACACACAGAATAGAAATGGCTAGACTGGTAGTTTCTGAAGTGTCTCTTCATAACCCCTTGGGACCTTGTTAGCAATGTAAATAGCCAGAACCCATCCAAAACCTAATGAATCACAAGCCAGAGAACAATAAGCCCAGCAGTGACTCTACTGTGCACTGAGGTTGAGCGAGCATCTGCAGAGGGAAATTCCACTCCAGGGGGGAAGAACTCAGCGACCTCCTGGTTATGTGGTCACTGCATTACTACGGTCATGGCTGACTGCGTGACAGAATCACAAGCTAAGCAGGACAAGTAAAGGGGGCCAGAGACATCATATTTGGAGGGACAAGGATCTGCTAATATATCTAGGCATATGAGCCAGTTATGCCACCACAGTAAAAAAAAGATACATAGTAACGCAGCCACATGAATAAATGTTTTAAAAGTTCTGAGATTAACACATGGAGATGCATATTAACATTTGATATATGGGGAAGGGGACAGCAAGACAGGTCAGCATATAAAGGGGCTATCCATCAAATTTAAGGACCTGAGTTTAAGCTCCTGGAATCCACATGGTGCAGTGAACCA